AAAGGGGGGGGGGACTGGAGACCAAAGGAACAGGGCCTGCATAATGACAAGCTTAGCAGTAATAATAATAGCTAGAATTTACCGAGCGCGTATTATCGGCCTGATATTATTCTAAGATACCGTTCTGGGAAGTCTAGGAGATTAAACTCGCTTCATCCTCACAGCCACCCGATCAAGTGGGTGCTGTTATCGTCCCCATTTTGCAGAAGAGGAAACTGAGTCATGGAGCGATAAGTAATCTGCCCAGAGTTATGGAGATTATAAGTGTGCTGATTGGAACCCAGGCCATCTGTCTTCAGGGCCTTTGCTCTTAAGCTATATTGTGAGGAAGAGGAGAGGTTCCCAGAGGTAATACTGTCCAAAACGAGACTGGGATTTAGTTGGCCAGTTGGCAGGGTACTCTGAACAGAGAACAGCAAGTGTGAAAGCCCGAAGGAAGAGAGGTTAAGTTTAGTTGAAGTGTAGAACTGGAGGTAGGAAATGAGGAATAGTAGTTGGCACATACATATATGTTTACTGGGAGCTGGGACTGCTCTAAGATCCTGACATATAGCAAGTTATTTAATTTTTACGACAATCTTAACCTTTAAAAGACAGCATCATACAAACTCCATATATTTTCCAGGATCAACTGTACAAATAATGGTTTCTTTCCTTTTGCCTGTAAAAAAGAACATATATGCTTAGGTTTCTGAGTATTTAAGAGGTAGGTATTATTATCCCCATTTTCCTGAAGAGAAAATTGAGGCACCAAAGAGGTTAAGCGACTTGTTCAAGGTCATCAGCTAGTGAGAAGTGTAACTCAGAATTTGAATCCAAGAAGTCTGGGTACAGAATATCCTCTGTCCTTAACCACATTGGACTGGCGAAGTGATCGATGGTCTTTTCTTCCACTTTATCCTTCATCAGAAGGACAGTTGGAAGCCTCTGAAGGGAGGGTCAGATTAGGGGCAAAGCAAAGTTGAGAGATTTGTGGTTCTCCAGTCAGGAGCAACCAGTTATGGTTTGGCTCACCATGGTGGGGTTGAGAATGAAGAGATGAGGCAGAAGAATCGAGAGGATTTTATGACTGATTGAATGTGGGGTATAAGGAGAAGTAGGAATCGAGGATGAGGAACCCCCCGGTTCCTGATGTTTGGGCCCCTGGGTGAAGACTGATGCCCTTCACTGTGGTAGGGAACACAGAAGAGCAGCACAGTGGTTGAGCTTGGGGGGAGGTGGGACAGGTCCTGCATGTACTCTGAGACACATTGTGTTTGAGGGTCCTTTGGGTTATGCAAGTGGAGATTCTATTTAGTAAACACCTGGCTTCATGGGAGTGAAAGCAGGTCAGAGGGAGGGACTGAGCTAGACATGTGGAGTCCTCCCATATGGCTGGTAATTAAAGCTGTTGGCTAGGATCATCCATGAGAGAGCATAGTGGGACTAGAAGCCTTAAAACATGGCCCTGAGATGCACCTACATTTAAAGGCTGGATGGACAACTAGGAACCTTCAAAAGAAGACTGGAAAGATGGGGTTGGAGTGGGGAGAGAGAGCAGCAGCCCAGAGTGGTGTCCTGGGAGCTGGGGAAGATGCAGCTTGAGAATGGAGAGTTAAGTACTGCAGAGGTCACAGAGGGCAAGGAAGAAAAGGTTGAAAAGTGTGTTTGGGATTTAGCTCCCACTGGTGCAGGGTGTGAGCAAGATTTCCAAGGAGAACTTGACAAACTCGGCTGACTGGATAAAAGAAGCAGCACAATCAGAGATGTCTCTGGTGTTGATGAGAGGCAACTGGGAGAATGTGGTGCCGGGGAGGGCAAGGAGGGGCTGTGGGAAGTGGGGAGAAGCAGGCACAACTTTGGTTTTGATTTCATTGAATTTGAAGTGTGTAGTAGGTGACTGAAGACAGGACTGATATTTAGGGGGGAAGCAGTATTAAGGATTCAATGGCAAAAATTGTTAACATGCAGGTGATGATTGAAACCATAAAAATGGATGAAGGTACTAGAGAGATCGTTAAAAAGAGATGGAAAGATGGCATTTTATAGGAGGAAAACCTTGAGTCATTAAGTCCAAGCCTGGTGGTTTGGAGACAAGGCACCAGATTTGGAGGGAAACCGAAAAGCCATGACTCAGGCCAGTATGGTGATTCTGGTTTCCAGCATTCAGCTTCTGGAGTGGATTTGGAGGATCCTAGAAAGGCCTCTGTTTTCTGGGGCAGAGAGTACTGCTTGTCAAGATGACCTGCATTTGTAAGGCAGGAAGACTGAGTGATCTCACTCCTTCTCTCTGATCTCTTCAGGAGGTTCTCAGAACACGCTGACACATATTATTTCTGAAGCTAGCTGTGGCTTGGTATTTGTGCTTTCCTCCTTAGGTATGAAGAAATTGATTTGGAAACTGGAATTTTAGAGTCCAAGAGGGACCCGGACCCTTTAGAGGATGTCTACCCCATTCATATGATCTTAGAAAACAAGGATGGCATCCAGGGCTCATGCCGGTACTTTAAGGAGAGGAAGAACATTACCAATGACATCAGAACCAAGTCTTTGCAGCCCCGCTGTACGATGGTGGAAGCCTTTGGCAGGTAACTGACTTAACGCTGTCAAAAACTCATGGGACTCTTTCTGCTTTGAAGTCTGAGGTGTAGTCCACTCCAGATTGGTCTGCAGCCTTAGCGTCTATCCAAGGGCATCGGCCCCACACTCAGCTAGTCCTCTGCCTTCTTCGCTCTGCTCCTGTTTGGGCTAACTTTGCTCAGGGGAGCCTACCACCCTTTCCGTTTGCATCCACAGTTCTAGCACAGGTGGGCAGAGCAGGCAGCTATCCTTTGGATTGATGCCTTTCATTCTCTGTCCAAGCTGGGCCCTGTGCTGCCCAGCGGTCCTTTTGTGAGTCTTCATTCAGTACCCCGGATTCCCAGAGTGACTAATCTGAGTTGTCATTTTCTCCACCCCCCACCGCTCCCATCCCCACCTCCCTTTTCACTTTACTGGGCAGTACGAGGTCTCATAGCATCCACTTTCTTCCTCACCTTGCAGACTTCCCACGCTTCTTTCCCCATCTCTCACCTCTCCCCATCCCTCACCTTGGTGGAAATGAAAAGCTGTGGCCCTGCAATCGAGGTGCCTTTCTCTCACCCCTTCTCTCCTCCCCCCCGCCCAGCTCCCATTCCTCGTGCTCCTGTGCTTTCCTGCCTCTGCCACAGAGCTTCTCTTTCCCCATTATTTTCAGTTTCTGCCTGTCTGCCAGAGCTCTCTTCTCAGCACATTAATGTGCTTGTCCGTCTTCCAACAGAACCTTCTCCTTACCTCGGATTGCCTGTAACTATACCTCTCTCTCTCTGAGGCTACAGCCATGTTTTTGGAAGAAGTAGCTGCAGTCATTTCGCTCTTTCTCCCACTTCACCTCCCCTCCGCTCCTCTGCCCACTGTGGTCCATTTCTGCCTTTGTCACTTCGCCACATCTTGTCCTCTAAGATCCCTATTAACAAGCCTGGCACACTATTAGGTCCTTTATCTCCTTTACCCGTCCACACCATTAGGGACTTTGACTTTTTCCCGTTACTTCTCTGTTTTGTTTTTCTGTTCTCGCTGATCCTCCCCAGCTCTTATATGGACTCCCAACTTCCTTGCACCCCTTCAGTGTTGGCTGCTCCTAGTGACTAGTCCTTAGACTTCCTCCCGAGCACCACATGTAATGTTTCAGTATCCTGCTGCCTACTCAGTGTGCCCAGAAGACAGAGCATCAC